TTATCAATGCTGATGATTACACCCAAAAAAGGAATAACTGGGAGAAGGGTTTCTTCATAAAGTCTTTTTCTTGAGAACATGTCTGGTAAAACATTATTTTTCCCGGAAATGTGCTTGTATTCGAAATTCCATTGGGAAAACCAGTTTGACCATCGTAATAACTGGGGGTTTGGAAGTATTTTGTTTTTGAATTTCAGCATATTAGGGAAGGCAGACAAATCCATTTCTACAAGAAAGTTGTGCCCAATAAGGTGAAATTGAAATTTCTCTATTCCTCTTTTAACAGCAAGAATTTCTTTGAAAGTAGAATGGTAATGGAGTTCAGAATCTTTGAATCTTCCACTCTTATATCCACAAATCTTTGTCTTTTTCAATTTCTTCAAGCAAAATACAAGCCCAAAATTCATCAAATTCGTCAGTTTGCAAAATTCTTTTTCCTGTAGAAGGAATTTTTAAAGAAGGAAGATTTTGGATAATCGTTTGAGCTCTTGAACACACTCAGTTTGTTTCTTAGTCCATGGTGGTGCTTTTTTCTTTAACAAAAGATATAGTGGACTGGTAAACAAAGAAATCTTAATAATAAAAGGGACATGTAATTTACAATACTTAAGAACTGCTGTATTTTTTTTACAGAAGAAAGAGTGTCCGGGAAATCTAACAGATGTTTGGCTATATGGGGTTGTAATTTGTACATATTATTATGAAAGTGCATACCAAGAAAATCTATTTCAGATGTGGCAAATGCACATTTTTTCTCAGAGAGCATGATAGCGTATTTACAACAAAGGGAGTGGAATTTGTCTAAAAGGAGAACATGACTTTCTAGGTCAGGAGAAAATAGAAGGATGTCATTTATGTATATTAAAGCCTGAGTTGAGATTGGTTCGAAAATGGTGGTCAAGATTTTTTGAAAATAAGTAGGTGCATTTTTCAAACCAAAGGGCATAACTGTCCATTGAAAATGATAATTTGGGCGGCAAAAAGCTGTTTTTGGTCTATCATCAGGATGTATTCCAATTTGCTAAAATCCAGATTCTAAGTCAAATTTTGAAAATATGTGAGCATGGGAGATCTGAGAGAACAGTGCAATCTGGTTGGGTAGAGGGAATTTATCATTTGGAAGAAAGGTATTTAAAGGTTGGTAGTTGATAACCAATCTAAGTTTTCCACAAACTTGCTTCGCTCTTTTTATTCACATAAAAGGCTTCACATGCCCAAGGAGAACTGGTTGGTTCAATTAATTCTTCCTTTATCAGATCATGAATTTCTTGCTTAGCTTGGTCTAACAAATCAGGATTTAATCCTCTGTGGGAGGCTTTTGTAGGGTTGATGTCTTTATTTTTCTTGAATGGGAGTTTGACATAGAAGTTCTGGTTTCTCCAGAGTGGATTGGTGCACTTTTTCAGGAATTAAGAATGAGAATTAGCACAACAATCAGAAATAATTTTTTGTCTAACAGTTTCTAAGGTCTTGGGCTGGTCTATACTAGCAATTCAAGGTAAGATCAAATTTCTAAAAACGAAGTCCTTGAAATTGTGTAGGGAATATTTCTCTGGTTTGATTTTGATCATTACTTGAAGAAGACTGAAAATTTATTTGGACTGTTCCGTCTGGCATCCTGTTAATTCTAGACTCAGACTGTACCACAGCTTGACTTTGGGTGTGTAAATTCTCTTAATTTGTAACCCAAGTGGATGGAATTAATTCAAGCAACCGTTCCCTTGATATCTGTCTTGGGATATAGTGACAAACAGGCTGGGAGTTATTATCAACTTTAATGAATAGGGCAGTATTTTCACATTCAGGGAGTAATGGTGTGACAATATCAAATGCATGGTTATGGAGCCTGTACACCATTTGATAATGGAGTGTGGCTACAGATGCAGTTTCAATTTGTTTGGTTCCAGTAATTTGTAATTGAACTTTAAAAACAGAACTCAAATGAGGGTCTTTGATAGCAATATTGAAGTTTGGAAAGAAAGTAACAAAAATGGTACCAGCATTTAGAGTTGTTTGAACTGTACTGATGCAAGTATGCTGATATTCTAGAAATCTGGTGTCTAGCAAAGCAATTCTGGTTACTGCTTCCATTCCTTTCCTACCATGAAAGGTTAGGGCTAGTTTAATGGCTCCAAAATGGCTATGGGTATATCCTTCTTTAAGCCATTGAGGGAAAAGGTTTTTAGGAAGGGTAATGGTAACATACTGTTGTTCAGCTTGGGTGGCTGGAAATTGGTGTTGGTCAAAAGAAGAAGCTTGGACATACTCTTTAATGGCTTTTGGATTTTTTTTTCCCACAAAGTTTCTTGATTCGTTTAGTCCAGTTTAAACTAGATTTATCATAAACATGATAAGGTTTAATTAATTGAGACTGAGTTTCTGAAAAGTTTGCAGGAGTGTAGGTTATTTCAAAAAGGTGTTCTTGTTTTGAAAACATGGGTGCTAAATCTGGGCTAGAAGATGAATTAAGTTCTAGGGAAGGAGTATCTGAGACACTTTCATCTGCCATTTTTGAAAAAGATTTTACAAAGTTGTTTGTAATTGTAAAAATAGGTTGAGGCTAACTTTCCTTTTATAGTTTACAAAGTATGAACTCCTTTTCCAGGCCTTCTCGCTGACTTCAGAGCTCCTATCATGTAAACCTCAGAAAGTATTGACAGTGGAATGGCATCACTTAAATTAACCTTATAATACGTACTTTGTTTTCTGATGCGAGAGATCCTGAATTAATTAGGCAGGCGCAGAGCATACTAATCCAAGTACGGATTATAGATTAACCCAGTCAACAGTGTAAATAAAAATTAATCTCAATAGCATAATCCAGGCTCTAATAGCAATGATAGATGTGCATAGAAGAATATGAGAACACCGCAATTGAACACAATCTGGCTTGTTCTATTGAAATGTAGGAATAGAAGAAACATGGATGACACCTTAAGATGAACATCAACTTCAGTGTCACCTGCAGAGATCATTGCTGAAGTAGTTCAAAGGTGAAGTACAACATATGAAAAAGGTGATCTAGCAAACGCCAGGTGATGATCTAGCAAACGCCAGGTGATAAGTATGCCCACCAGCCTCTTGTAGGTTCCCGGGTATCTTAAACGTTCTTTATTTGGACGTAGATGGTGGTCTGATTCTATAGATGAAGCTCTTGTCTTGAGTTTCAAACCTTGACTTCTGGTCCTCAGAATTATTGACTGCCTCTTTTAGGGCCTCACAAACTTAACAACTCCTTCAAGTAGGCAAGATTTAGTCCTGTATATCTGAAAAGTTGTTGATTTGGCAGTGGGTGTTGGTTTAGCTTATCGATGGATATGCCTTGGAACGTGTCACTTCACTTCCCAATAAATTCTTGAGTGGTCCAAGTTCTTTGTTATCAAACACCTTACTTAGGTTCTGTTTTGGAGTTCAGATAGAGTAAAAAACACAAACCATCAAGAAAAATAAAAGGGAATTGACTCAGAAACATTGTCAACAAGAGTGACTAAGAACTGTCATTTCCACTCTTCTTATTCAGAGACAGTGATTGCTCATGTTAAATTGTGTATCTATGTTGATTAAATACATCTCTAAAACTGGTTTAGCCTATGAGTGGCCTTATTAAACTTGCATAATTTTCCTTCCTATCCAGAAAATTCAGGCAGCTAGGATGCACATGGCTTTGGATTAGCGATATAGTTGCAGCTTCGGTATTTGGTATTTTACTTATCTGTTCAGAGTTTTGACACCGGTATGATGACTATCTCCAAGCATTGGTCTGTAAGAGCAAATAGAGGAGACGTACATATGGGATTCCTCCCAGATCATCATGTAAAAAGGTAATTTTATGTTGAGCTGGTGAAATGGTCAATGTCTGTGAGCTGCCTTCCTTGCAAAGTGTTTAAGACAACTTGTCAAAAAATGCTGTGTTTAATGGAACTTACTGAAGAGGAAATGTCCCTTTTTATGGAAGTTTTTGTAACAGTTAGCATCTCTCCTATTCCACGCAACTTTTTGCTCCACTATCAGGACATTCTTACATCAAATTTACTTTTTAACCTCATTGATATAACAAACTGAGATTTTTTCCCCTTGCATTTGAGGCACGATGTGTTGTCTATGATTTCATGTCTCCCTCTAGCCTTGTGACCAACTTCACAGGCTTTGGAACCCTGCAAAGCTCTCGCCTTTTATTTTAGTTTAGAACTTTGAAGCCTCAAATCTGATTTTTCTTATTCTTGTCAATCGGCTTACACCAATCTTCCTCTGCCATCCTTTCTTACACCATGTTTGATAATGATCTATTATTGCACTGCTTCACTGCCCAAATTTCCTCGTTTCTTGAATTTCAAGTTCTCATAATTTCTAGAATATATCAACGTCTTTTATGGGTCCCGCTTTTCTTTTTAGTCATTGCCCTTGTCATCTTTCTTGTTTTTCTCTTCTTGGATCTCTGTTATTATTGCGTTGATACTTGCACAAGTTTCAGGTCCAACCACACCTCAAAACCCCTGGATGACCTTTGACTTCTACCTTTAAATCTTTTGGAAATATCCTGCCTTGTTCCTGAACTTGATAAAATTATTTAGTCATACAATATACACCATTTTAAAGAAGTGATGATGTCGTCTGTTTTCCAGTCAATGATGCTGTTAATGTTGATATCCTGTGTTCGTTTGATGTTTTCACTGATCCATATTTCCTTGGAGATGCATTTAAGATCTTCTAGTTCTTGGTATAGCCTTTGGAGGTAATGATATTTGATGAAACTGCATTCTGGAAATGGTAAATGTGTAATTATAGCTCATGGGTTTGGTTGTTCTCTATCAAACCCCAATGCAAATGCCATAATTATTTTGTGGGAACAATTGCCTTTTTTGAAATGATCTTGTATGTGATAATCAAGTAGTATTTTCATAACCTGGGATTTTGTGTGTAATTGATAATTTCTTGAATAAAGAGAGAAAATGTGGAATGTCAGAAGATGATGGAGATTCGTCATTTTTCATGTGTTGCAGATTTTCCAGCACCCCATCCAGCACGTACCTGCTACCAGGCAGCCGTTCTTCCATTGGATGCCAAGGTTGAGATCGAATGCATTGCCGCTCTTTAGCTCTATAGAGAGGTGGGCCACCTGACCCCCATCTTTCTATTTAGCACGCCCCCCCCCCCCCCTCC